TAAATATATATAATATTGTATATTAAAATTAATTATAATTTTTTTTAAAAATAAAATTTCAAGTAATTTATTTATTTTTATTTTATGGTCAATAATATAGTATTATTTTCTATTATWATTAATATTATAATTATTTAGAAAAAAAACAATTTGTTTTTTTTAAATATAAATAAACAAAAAACTACTGTTTTTTATATTAACTAATTTATTATTTAATGAAAAAAAATAAATTAYAATAAAACAAATAAAAATATTTTTTTTATAAAATTAATTAATAATTTCAAAAATGTGCGCCAAATTCACACACACACACCTCTACAGTATTATTAATAATAAAAATTATATTGCTACTATATTATACGTTGCCAATGGCAACCTCYYTATTACACAGTAATCTAAGCGACACCTATCCATAGCAACAGTAAACAACACAACAGATAATACATACAAACAAAACAAACACACAATAAATGTATTCAATAATACATTTAATATTATTATAAAATAAATACACAGTTTGTAAACACAAAACAAATATCATATCAAACAACAAAAAAAATCAATTAATAAATTCAATTCAATTGAATTGTTTTTTATTTAAATATTAATTAAAAAATAAAACAATTAATAATTTGTTTTGTTATTATTATTATTATTATTGTTTAATCACAACAATCAGTAATTTAGTGGACAAACAAAACAAATCAATTGTTTGTTSGTTTWTTTTTCAGTATCAGAGAAGTGGTCGTCGTTTTAATTGATCCATCGATTCATTCATCATATCATCCGAACAACCAGTTGTCTGTTGGTGTATATATATATATCCGATATCATCCACTCTTCCTCCTCCTCAGCGATATATCATATCATATCATATGATGGACAACAACAACCCGCTGGACGAAGACGAAGCCAAAGAGCTGTGGGACGAAACTCAACGGTTGAGACACAAACGTGATCTGTTGACCAAAGAAAATGAACAATTGAAGACATATTTGAGACTCAGACAGATGGAGTCGACGGCCACTTGTGAACAATTGAAATCAGAAATTGAACAACAAATTGAACAGTTTGAGTCTTTAGGTGAAACACAGACCACTCATTTGGAAACATTGAAGTCATTCAGGTGTGAAATAGAGGCCATCCAGTGCTGGAATCAGAAGATCCGTAACAAATACTTTGCCAGAGCTGCTGCCGCAGCTGTTGCTGTCGGTGGTGCTGGTAGTGGTGGTTTGGGTGGCAGTAGTAGTAGTAGTGGTGGTGAGAGTCGACCATCGGCGTCGTCGTCGATTGCCGACCAGTTGACCGACGAATATATCGATCGGTTTGTAGCTCAAAATGTCGCCCGAAGACGTGCTGCTGTCGCAGCCGCTACGGTAACGTCAGTAGTAGTACAAACACCGAACCAATGGACGGCGGCGGCGAGTCCAGTGGTGGCGTCAATAATGTCGACGACGACGATGATGTGAAGCCATCGTCGACTAGTGATGGCAACGATAGTAGTAGTAGTGGTAGYAGTAGTCATGAAGAGAAGACATTGACAACAACGACGCCAACAACAAAACTAACTAAAACTAGAGGCCGAAAGCCTAAGACTAGTAGCCGTGTGAAGAAGGCARCGATGGTGATGATGAACAAGAAGAAGAAAAAGAAGAATAGTTTTATCGTTACCACCGCCGCAGCCAACGATGATAATAAAGAAGACAATAGTAATAGTAGTCGTCGTCGTAGTGGTAATTGTAGTGATAGACAAACAAGACAACACAATACTAMTACTACTACTACTACTATGGAGTACACAATTGCCACAAGAAATCGATCTAAACAACAGAAGACAATGACAGCAGAAGAAATTACTACAACTAAGACAACACTAAAGCCGACGACCACTACTTCGGTAACCAATACTACTACTACTACTACTAAGCGTCGTCGACAAACACCTGTGGATGACATCAATAATTCACAGATTATAGTGAAGCCAAAGCAACGCAAAAAATGCCGAAAATAGTTGTCTTTAATTAATTAATTAATTAAAATAATAAATATACTACTAATTAATTATAACTATATTATGATTATATAATATTAATTGCTATTATTATTATTATCAATAATGACATGTATTTTCAATTATGTGTGTTATATGTATGTGTTTCTAATGATTCAAATTTTTTTCTCATTTAAATAATCATCAATTTTTTGTTGTGTTTGTTGAAAACTGATTGATTGATTTAAATTTAAACTTTTAAAATAATGCTATATATATATATTTTAGTTCAATTTATATATGTATATTATATACAGTACATATATATATATATATATATATATATCTTAATAATTATATAAACAAATTATATACCATTAAATTATTAGATATTATTATTTTCTCTATTTATATAACTTTATAAATATAAAAAAAATCAAATCCCATATCTGTTTTGTTTTTTCAATTACATTCAACTCCCACCCCATCCCTAACATCACTGGGCTTTGATGGTAGGTTTTGTTTGCTACCTACCCATACCCCACCAAATTTCCGGGGCAATTGGTCTAACAATTAATGATTTTATGTCTATTTTGTTTTTTTGTGCAGTTATTAAAAATGTCGGTTTGGGACAAAATAGGTGGGACTAGTTTTTCAATGATAAATAAAACCATTATTATCTATAGAATTTTATTGAAATAAAATTATTTATAATTATTAGTATGATTTTATTCCTGAATTGATACTGGTGGTATAAACTATTATTTTTTTTATAATACTATTGAATGGCACCGGTATGCTTTTAGCATAGGGTATTATTATCATTAACTCACAACCAATAATAATAAATGATTAAATAAGTTTTTTGTGTTTTTGTTTAATGAAATTATCTAGGTTAAACTTAGAAATAAATTACTGTAAAACAATGTATTTATTAAATTTGAATTAAATAAAAYTAGTTCACRATTTTTATATATAAAAAAATACTTTTTTTTTYTCCATATTTCATATATTTTTTAACAGTCAATTGTTTTTTATTGTTAAAATAGCTAAAAAAATTATCAATACAATTTTTGAATTAAAATTAACAATATAATATATAATATGTTTTTTAATAGTTTTTTTTTAAAAAAATAATTAGTAATAAATACTGTATTAAAATATTTATTAAAATATTTTTAAAATTGAGAGCCACTGTAAATCTAAAATTCATTGTAATTATAATAATAAATATTATTACTATACGACAATTAATTATTAGCAATAAAAAAAGCTGCAATGTAATTATTATTATTATGTTAACAAAAACATAAAATAATTACCTTGATTATTTTTAAAAAAAATTGAAACTCATATTAGATTAATTAAAAATTTACTCAAAACTTGTTTTTGAATTATATGCCTAAAAAAATAAAATGCTGTAACTTTCAAAAATGTTTACATCATATAAAACAAGTTATGTATTAAACACTAATAGTAATAATACTTTAATATATAATTTATTATATTAATTGATTAACCATTTGGTGTATTATATTATATATATATATACAGTATATAGTATATGAAAAGTTCATTTACTAAAAAAACATATTTCAATTTTATTTATATATATATATATACCTATCTATGGTATATATCTATCAAAAAAATCATAGAAATTTATATATTTTTTTCTCAATAACCTTGATATTATTGAATGCCTCGAGTAAACTGTGTGTTTGAAAAAAACGTCATCAATAAAAACGACTTTTTCAAAAATAAAATATAAATTTATATATATATAAAAAATTAAATATCATTATTATTATTAACAGGGAAAGCACTTGAATTTTTTGTTTTTCTATAATAATACATACATACAGAGCACAGTTAGCATAGTTATTGGCACAGGTATGCTGGCATGTGTGTGTGTGTGTAGAGAGAATCTATGATATATATATATATATAAATGAATAGGTATTTTCTCTTTATAACAACAACAACACATCAAACAACAATTTTTATTTATTTTTWWAATAAAAAACAGGTATTAATACTGTTTTTTTTGTTTAATTTTTGAAATATGTTTTTCAACTTTTACTTTATTTTTTTTTGTAAATTATTTAATTTATCTCAGTGTCTGTAAATTGCAATAAACTTTTATTTTATTTTTTATTTTTTAAAAACCATTGATTACCCTCTCTATAGATAGAGAGGGACTGATCCGCGCAGTGCGCGCGGGGGATACCATAACATGCCATACCATACCATACCTTATTAAATCGCTTATCATATCAAACCAAATGAGTTTTCCAATAGTTTTTGATGTTTGCTAAGTGAAARAAAKAGAGACTTAATAAATAAATATATTTAATAATAAGCTAATCAGTTACTCATCAAACTARACGATATATATATATATATATATATATATACAGTATATATATATAAGTGATCAGAAAAAATAAACCTAAAAAACACCAGTTTTGTGATTTTTTAATTGAATATATATATATTAAGAAAAAAATAAGTTTTTAAAACTAAAAATTTTTATGTGATATTTTCTGTGTGTATGTATTTTGTTGGTTTAAAAACTTTATTTTTAACTTTTAATTAATAAATATCATCGAAAAAAGGATATTCCCATTTTAAATAAATTTATTAATATTWTTATAAATTAAAATTATTATTATCTATCAAACAATTTTAAGCATTATTATTATAATAATAATCATTATCATCATTATTATTAATATTATCAACATTTGATTTGTTTGTTTRTTTGTTTAAAATATTAATGTTATAAATTGTATTAATAAAAATTGGCAAAAATTATTATTTTTAAAGTTGATATAAAGTTTATATTTTATGTAAAATTTTACTTATGTTAAATTTTTTATTATTATTGACAAATTACTAATTTAATGGTATTATAGTAATTATTTTTTTATTTAAATGTAAATTAACTAATAGTTTAATAATATAAAAATTAATTTTATTAATAATAATAATAATAAATATTTAATATGGCATTAATATTGTCTGGATTTGCAAAACATTTATTGTCAAACACTGAACAAAAGGTAATGTTTTATATTTAATTTTATATTTAATTTAGTATTAAATTTAATTTTAATTTTAGAAAAATATATATATAATATGTATTGAGTTAAAAAATTATTATTTATAATATATTTTATAATGACTAATTACCATAAAAAATCTCCATAATTGACTAACAAGTTATTATTATTTTTTGTAAATATTCATAAAATTTCTAATAATAATAATAATAATGACAAAAAAACTACTAATWAATTATTATAAYTTAAACTTTAATAAAATTTTAATAATTTATCYATAATTAGTCAAAAAAAGCTATRACAACAACAACAAAATTAACKAATATTTGMTAATTTATTAATTAATAATTTTTTTTTCTCAATTTATTTAATAGTTATGTTCATCATATCGACAATTGTCGTCAGCAGTAAATCAATATTTTAAAGTAAGTTTCAAWAAATTGAAATAACATAAAAACAAACAAAAAATAAGTTTAATTAAATTTAATATTCAATAKCAAAATTTTCTTAAATATAAAATAATTTAAGTGCACCTAAACTTTAACTTTMAAAATTAAATRMAACWAWTTATCACTYTGTTTTTCACTAATAAAATATTATGATTCATTGATTATATAAATATATATATWTATCATATTCACATTAAATAATGAGAAAAATATCAATAAAATAAATTAAGTTTAATTATTGATTGGAAATTAAGTAATAAAAAAATAAATTACTGAGAAATAAAATATTACAAACAGTTTTAAWATTTTAGRYTTATATATATATACAATAAAAAATCATTTTTTGTATATAAAGATTTATCATTTATAGATAGATTTATACAGTATTATCATATACAGTATATTCACATAAATAAAYAAAACAACAACAAAAATATTAAATGAAATAAATAATTATTTAAAATTATATATTTTTTAATTACTRATTAATAAAACATTATTTTATTTATTTTATTTTTATTAATAGTCATGCGATCTGGAGATACACGAGTGCGACAAAAATGAGAGGAAAGCCAAACCCGATAACTGGGGCAGTCTGTTGTTTGGMCGTAACTTCAATGACCATATGTTTGAAGTAAACTGGACTCACGATAAGGGTTGGGGTCGACCACTGATCTGTCCGATTCATAACCTATCGTTGCATCCGTCGGCCAAAGTCTTTCATTACGCCCAAGAGGTTAGACAGTCGACTGTTTTCATACACTGATAAACTTTTTTTGTTTACTCATTAAATACTAATTATTATTATTATTATATAATTAATTTGCACTCAAAAAAATTATATGCAATAGTATTAATTAATTAGTGATTTATGTTTGGTTTTGGTTTGTTATCAGTTATTTGAAGGACTAAAGGCGTTTCGCGGCGTCGACGGGAATATCCGGATATTCCGGCCCGACATGAATATGAAGCGAATGCGGGCATCGGCTGAACGTATAAATTTACCGGTGAGTTGGGGGTTGTTTTTTTAGCGGGAAATCGGGTTTATTTAAAACATAGTTTTCAGAGACTATAACTTATAGTATTAATATTATTATTATTATTACCCCCCAATAATATTGCAATATCTTGTTATTCAATTGATAGTTCAAATTTTTAGTTATCTTTGTTTACTGGTATCAGCAATAAATTTTTTATTTTKTTAATAAATTAATTGCAATAATTAGTATTAAWWWWTTYTTGTAATTACAGTAATAATAAAAAATCACTGTTTATCACTGAATATATTTTTTTATTTATCTAATCAATAAATTATTTATCGTTTAGTTTTTTTGATGTTAGAAAACATTTTTTATTTTTTAAACAATTTTATTTTTTTTATTAAATTATTTGCTGATATTTTTTTTAAAAATGACATCATAATAATTATTTTTTTTAAATCATTGGTAAATTTTATTTACTGTAATATATATAYAGTATGTGATATTTTTTTTAAATAAAAATTATTWTTKTTTTATTAAACTAAACTATTTTGTTGTTGTTGTTGAAGGACTTCGATGGCAACGAACTGTTGGAGTGTCTGAAAAAGYTGATCCAAATCGATGCCGATTGGGTGCCACCCTATGGCTCGGGWGCCTCRCTGTACATACGGCCCACATATATCGGTACTGAGCCGGCACTCGGYGTCCACAGCAGCAAAGATGCTATGCTATACATTATATGCGGTCCCGTTGGACCCTATTTTCCAACTGGTGCCATGAAACCGGTATCACTGTTGGCCGATCCRCGTTTTGTCAGGGCCTGGCCGGGCGGTGTCGGMGACAAAAAATTGGGCGTCAACTATGGGCCACAATTGGCTGTACAACAGTTGGCCGAAAAGATGGGCCACCAGCAGGTGCTCTGGCTGTTCGGCGACGACCATCAGCTGACCGAAGTCGGCGCTATGAATGTGTTTGTCTATTTGGTCAACGATCGGGGCGAACGTGAACTGGTCACACCGCCGCTACAGTCGGGCCTAATACTGCCCGGTGTTACCCGATTGTCGTTGATCCAGTTGGCCCAACAGTGGTCAGAGTTTAAGATTACCGAACGGGCGATAAACATGCAAGAGATTCGTCAGTTGGTCAAAGAAAAACGTTTGCTGGAGATGTTCGGCGCCGGTACGGCCTGTAGTGTCTGTCCCATTGGACGTATACATTATAAAAATGAGGACATCATAGTACCCGGATTACCTGAACAGGAGTCACTACAGCTAAGGCTATATAAGACACTACAGGACATACAGTACGGTATTGTACCGCACGACTGGTCAGTGATTATTTGAATGAGTAGTCTCGATGATCGGTGTGTGTGTGTCGGGGTATCARACCATTGTCTGTCTCTCCCAATGTCTAGAAGTGATGCCATATATGTATGATAAGATTATATTGAAAAAAATAAATATATAATTTTTAATAATATATATATATATATTCTAGTAATTATTATGTCAACAAAAAAAACACATAATAATAATAATTATTATTACCTTGTTCATTTATAAATTGAAAACGTCATAAATAAAAAAAATAAAATTTAATATYATTATTATTTTTATTATTAACAGGGAAAGTACTGTAGATTTTTGTTGTTGTTGTTGTGTTTYTAATGATACATCCAAGAGCACAGGTAGGTMTTATATCGACACATGTATGTAAAATACATGTACAGARAAACTAATATATATTTATATATATTTATATACCTGTATATGAAAAGGTATTTTTAAAATTATAAACAKGTATTAAACATTTTTTTAAAATTTGCTTTTTAATAACTTTTTGTTTRTTTTTTATATATATATATATATATATATATATATATTTTTAATTATATCAGTGTYTGTAGTAAATTGGAGTAAACTTTTTWAACATTTTTTTTTTTAATTAAATCTCTTGAATATCTCCCCCGCCGTCCTATAAGACCGGTCCGCGCAGTGCGCGCGGGGTATACCATAACATGCCATACCATACCTTACTTATCGCTTATCATATCAAACTCATGAGTTTTCCAATAGAGAGACAGACAGACATAGAGAGAGAGAGAGAGAGAGAGAGAGAGAGAGAGAGAGAGAGAGAGAGAGAGAGACTTAATAAATATATACTATATTTAATAAACTAATCAGTATTTTTTTTATCAAAACTATACGATATAATGTGTAAAGTATAGAAACACCAGTTTTACTACTTTTAATTGAATAGATTAACAGAATATATAAATAATTTTTAAATAAAAACTTTTTAAAAACTAAAATTTCTRGTATTTTGTGATTTTTGAAAACTATTATTGAAAAAAATGATAATCCCATTTTATAATATATTATTATAAMWATTGYTAAATGTCTATAATTTAATTATYATTATTATCTATCAAAAAAAATTTTAAGCATTATTAATATTATCAACATTTTGTTTGTTTAAAATATTTTTTGATTATAATCGGCGATTGTATATAAATTGTATTAATATTAATCAAAATTGTTGAAAAAATTGTTATTATTATTATTAAGTTGTTATTATTAATATTTTATGTAAATTTTTATTTTAATTATTTTTCTTAATGATTAAGCACTAATTTATAATGGTATTATAAATTAGTAATTATATTTACATAAAATAATTTAATAGTTATAAATTATAACTTATAATAATATAAAAAAAGTAAATTTTATTACTAAAAAAACTAATATTTAATATGGCATTACTATCGACTGGATTTGTAAAACATTTATTGTCAAACACTGAACTAAAGGTAATTTAATATTTAATTTTTATATTAAAATAATATATTTTATAAATATTTTTTAAAAATCTTGATAATTCACTAACTAGTTATTTARTATTAATTTTTTTTCTAATAGTCATAAAATTTCTAATAATAAATTTACTAATAATAAATTATTACTAAAACTTAAAATTATTATAATAAATTTATATTATTCAAAAAACTATAATAATAATWATAATAATAATAATAATAATAATAATAATAATAATAATAATAATAATAATAAAATAATAATAATAATAATAATAATAATAATAATAACAATTAATAACTATTTTAACAATTAATTAATGATTTTATTTCTCTATCTATTCTAATAGTTATGTTCATCATATCGACAATTGTCGTCAACAGTAAATCAATATTTTAAAGTAAGTTTMAAAAATTGAAATAAAAAACAAAAAAATTTTTAAAAAAATTATAATCAATTAAATCTAGTATTCAACAAAAAAATAATAATTTTTTTCTAACAATTTTATTAAGTTCATACTAAACATCTAAACTTTATTTTTTTAAATTAAAAATTATTATTAGTTATACTAATTAACAGTAATTTACTAATTTAGTAGTAATATTAAAATTTTAGATTTATATAGATATATATACAGTTAAAAAAAATTAAACTTTTTTTGTCTATAAAGTTTTATCATTTATATTTAGATAGATTTACATTATTAGTACAGTATATTCACATAAATAAATAAAACAATAACAAAAAAAAATATTAAATGAAATAAATAATTATTGAAAATTATTATATATTTTTTTTAATTACTGATTAATAAAACATTATTTTATTTTTATTAATAGTCATGCGATCTGGAGATACACGAGTGCGACAAAAATGAAAGGAAAGCCAAACCCGATAACTGGAAAAACATTTTGTTTGGCCATAACTTTATTGACCATATGTTTGAAGTAAACTGGACTCACGGCAAGGGTTGGGATCGACCACTGATCTGTCCGATTCATAACCTATCGTTTCATCCGTCGGCCAAAGTTTTTCATTACGCCCAAGAGGTTAGACAGTCATCATATACTGTATACTGTCATCAAATTAATTAAATTATCATTTTTTTTAATTTGCATCTAACAAACATACATAAAAAAAAATTATCTGTAATATTATAACAGTAAATTGATTAGTGATTTATATGTTTTATATATATTTTGTTTGGTTTGGTTTGTTATCAGTTATTTGAAGGACTAAARGCGTTTCGCGGCGTCGACGGGAAAGTCCGGATATTYCGGCCCGACATGAATATGAAGCGAATGCGTGGATCGGCTCAACGTATTGATCTACCGGTCAGTTAGGGGGGGGGGCTGTATTTTAGCTGGGGGTRCTATTAAAAACATAATTTTAGTATTTAATCATCATTTTAGTATATACTAATAAATTTACTAATAAATTAATTGCAATATACAGTAGTAATCAATTGGTATTTAAAAATTTCAAATTACATGGCGTGTTGTTTATCTGAGCTGTTAGTTATCTAATCAATAATTTTTTATTAATCTCATGTTTGATAGTATTATTTTTTTTAAATGTTAGATTTTTGACAGTTTAATAGATTTAATTTTATCAATTATTATTAGCTAATACTTTATATATATATATATAGTATATAAGTAATTAATATAATAGTACAGTATTTGGATATTTAAAAAAACAAAAAAAATTGATGTTTTTGAAGGACTTTGATGGCAACGAACTGCTGGAGTGTCTGAAAAAGTTGATCCAAATCGATGCCGATTGGGTGCCGCCCTATGGCACGGGTGGCTCGCTATACATACGGCCCACCTATATCGGTACGGAAGCTGCACTGGGCATCCATAGCAGTAAAGATGCTATGCTCTACATCATATGCTGTCCAGTGGGACCTTATTTGGCTACCGGAGTCATGAAACCGATATCCCTGTTGGCCGATCCACGTTTTGTCAGGGCCTGGCCTGGTGGAGTGGGCGACAAAAAATTGGGCGTCAACTACGGTCCCCAACTGGTCGTACAAAAGTTTGCCGAATCGATGGGCCACCAGCAGGTGCTCTGGCTGTTCGGCGACGACCATCAGCTAACCGAAATCGGTGCCATGAATGTGTTTGTCTATTTGGTCAACGATCGGGGCGAACGTGAACTGGTCACACCGCCGCTACAGTCGGGCCTAATACTGCCCGGTGTTACCCGATTGTCGTTGATTCAGTTGGCCCAACAGTGGTCAGAGTTTAAGATTACCGAACGGTCGATAAACATGCATGAGATTTGCCAGTTGGTCAAAGAAAAACGTTTGTTGGAGATGTTCGGCTCGGGTACGGCCTTCAGTGTCTGTCCCATTGGACGCATACACTATAACAATGATGATATCGTAATACCCGGTTTGCCTGAACAGGAGTCACTACAGCTACGGCTATATAAGACACTACAGGACATACAGTACGGTATTGTACCGCACGACTGGTCAGTGATTATTTGAATGAGTAGTATCGATGATCGGTGTCGGGTATCACTGTTTCTCTCCCACCCAACCCTACCCCCTATGTCTTATGTTTAGAAGTAATGAGATTATATAATAAAATTCATTTATATATTTCAATATATTCAATATACATATATTTTTTTAATGATATCTTAAAATAAAGATATTTAAATTCATATGGAAATTAAAATAAAAATTTAATTACCAGTAAATTAATTTAAATTGTATTTTATTTTGTTATACTAATTATTTAGATTCAGTCAATCAATTCAATTAAAATTATCTTAATTATGAAATTAACTTCAAAGTTCAAAGTTATAACTTACCATGCTTAAAAAATAAAATTAACTTGAATATAATTTATAAAAATATTTTAGCCTTGTTTGATTTTCATTATAATTGATTTTTTACGCCATCTATATTTAGCAAACTCAAACATTACTTTATATAATAAATATTTTTATAACCATACATTGAATCCACTCGCACACTATTAATGCTATGGAGAGGCACCTGACGTCATAACAATAGTCTTAATAACAATAGTATATATGTAAGCAATAATGAGAACTCGAAAATACAAACGCCACTTAATTAAATACAAATATTTTATTATAATAAAAATAAAAACAAAATAAAATAATATTATTAAAAATTATAAATCAATCAAATATAAAATAAAATTTAATAATTATAATAATAAAAACAATACTTATTACTACTAATATTTAAAATAATTAAAATTAATTAAAAGGTTTAAAATAACTTGCTTTTATAAAAATAACTTTTAGTTATCATAATCAAAATCAGTTTTATCTACATAACCAGTTTTATCATCGACAAGTTTATTGTGTTCAATATCATACCAATACTTAGCATATGAAACGCTGTCAAATTCTCTTATATTTTGTGGTCCATTACATCGAATAAACAGTAATTATTTTTAAACTATTATTAGGCGGTCATTTTGAACAATATTATACGATACAGAATATATTAGAACAGATACAATTGAAAATATTAATGAAATTAATATTTTCTATATATAATATAATAAAATAAAAAATAAATATTTTTTAAAATCATAATTTTCTTACAAATTTGTATTTTCTTTCAAATCTTAAATTATTCATTTTTAGTTAATTTTATTTTATTATTAAAGAAAAAATAATAATTAATTTAACATTTTTATTTCAATTTAACATAACAGTTAAAATTTTAACATTAATTTATGTTTTATGCAATTAAATTATAATTATATTTTTATTTATTTGATCATATTTTTTAAATATTAATTAATCCATTATATATATCATAATAATATATATTAATTTAAAATTTAATTATTATTTTTTAATAATAATTATAATTACTTGTTTTTAAGCTGAATAAAATGTTTTTAACTAAATGTAGTGTTATTTATTAATTTTGCATAAAATATTAGTTTTTTTTGTTTACCTAATAATTAATCATTTGTTTATTATTATTTGTTATAAACAATTTACATATTTATTTGTATAGCTTTATAAATAAAGTGGCGTTTTATATCACGTTCTCAATTTTTATTCAGTTGCTAAATATTTTTTTGTGCATCTGTATTCAATGTATGTTTATAACTATTTAATTGTTTAATAATATTATACACAAATAGATAGCTCCACGCATTCACTCATTGATAATAATAATAATTAATTATTATTATAAATTAAATATTAAATAGTATTTCAAAATAATTATTTAATTTAGTGATTTTAATTATAAATAAATATATATAGAAAATATTTAAAAAATTAAAATAAATACACATTTATTTAAATATATATTTTATTAAATAATTTTATTGGTAATCTTTATTTGATAAAAATGAGGCAAATTATAATCATTAAAAATATATATATATAAATATATATTATAATGACTTTACAAATAAGATATATATATATATATATATATTGTAATTTAAATATTAATACAATTTTTGCGCGTTTTTTTACTTAAAAATTAACTTAAATAATAATATGACTGTCAAAATAATTATAAGTATTATTAATAATAATAATATATAAGTATTACAATTTTTATTTTAATTAAACATAATATCTTTATATATATATATAATTAATTAAAATTAAAGTTAATCAAAATCATATTAATTATATTAATAATAATAATAATAATTTGTTCGCATATACACATATATAATGTTTTTTTCAATCAATAATAAACATCGAAACATAAAAATATCACTAATAATTTTTTAAAAAAAAATTCAAATAATATGTATAAATTTATATATTTATATTAAAAAAAAAAAATTAAATTAGAGTTGCCATACATTGTTTCGTTAAGTAAAATTGTCCATTAAATTTGAAAACATTATATATATATATATATATATATATCTTATATAAATTACAGCAAAAAATGGCAAATATTATATAATTACAAATTTTTTGTTTTTGTATTGTTTGTCTAAATAAAAAAAAATTAATTGACAAAAAAATTATATAATTTCAGATTTATATATATATATATATATAAAGCTTTGTTTGCATACAACGGTTTTGTTATATAATATTTTTTTCTTTAAAATTTACTTTTAATATTAAAAACTATTTTTTATTATAATTATTATTATTATTATTAATCTAAAATTGGCTGAACGGATATATCTCTGTCTCTTCAAAATTTTCAAAATCAATTTTTTTCACTTTTAAAAAATATTACATTTATATATATATATATATATCATTATTAGTAATAAACATGTAAAATTATATGAACGATAATAATAATTAAATAATAATAATAATAAATATATACACATTTAAATATATATATATATATATATATATATATATATATATTTAAATGAAATAATAATCATAATAGCAATGATAATAATAATAATAATAATATTTTTTTGCATCAATCAATAATAGACAACATCAAACATAATCATAATAAACATAATAATAATAATAATAATAATAATAAAAACAATTATAAAATAAAAAATTAACTACAAAATATAAAATATGATTAAAAATATTTATATATAAAAAATAATGAGGGAGAAAAATATGCAAATATGTATATGCAATAAGTATTATTGTACTTAAATTAAAGCTTAAATTATAATAATTATAATAATAATAATAATAAGTAAATTATAAATTAACATAGAGTTTGTGATGCAAATAATAATAATAATTGTTATTATTATTATTATAATTATAATAATAATGAGATTGAAATTGAATGAAATACTGGCGAGAATTCAATATTATTATCAATATTTTTTTCAAAAGTTATTATTTGTAATAATAATAATAATAATAAAATAGATTATGAATTGAGTTATAAATTAATTTTTTTAACATAAAAAATGTATGGTTTGTGTATCGAGATATACAAAAAGTTAATGAATTGGGTATTATTTATATATATATACTGTATTTATATATAAATAATTAGAGGTACTAATTATTAAAATGATATAATAATCATTAAATCAATAATAAATTATTAATATTATAAAAAAATAATAATAATGATGTTTAGTAGTAGTAATAATAATAATAATAATATTAATGATCCAAAAATAAAATGGATTTTTGTTTCTCAATTAATTATAATATTAAATTATAATATCAATAATATTTAATTGAATGAGAAAAAAACAATTCAATTAGAAAAAAAATCTATACAATTTACAAATATAATATATATATATATATATATATATATATATATATTATATATAGTATATAATTATACAATACATATATATACATATATATATATATATTAAGTTGCGATATATTTTCGTGTAAAACCTGAATTAAAACATCACTTATTTTTTGTTTTGTTGATTGCTTTTAAAAAAATGGTATTAATGAAAGTGATGGCATTTATTATAAGTATAATAATAATATCGACTATTATTAATACTTTAAATAAAATTATTTTTCAATTATTATCATTATTATTATTATTACGAGAATCTAATATAATTTATATATATATATATATATATATATATACTATAATATGTGGTAAATTATATATATATATATATATTTATTATTATTATGGAAGAATATCTTATTTTTTGTTTCTCTATATATTATATTATAAATAGTTAAACATTATATTAATTACTAAAAATTATATATAAATTATTTATATATATATATATAAAGTTTATCTCCATTTCAATATACAGTGTATATATATTTTGCAAAATAAAGAATTTTCAACTTTTTTGTTATTATTGTTATCATATATATATAAATCATTATTATATTATAATTAATAGCAAAAAAAATGAGATAAAATATAAATATATTGTTTTGTTTGTATGTATCTAAAGGAAGATCTGTAAAAATTATAGATTCTCTCTCTCATTAAAAAACATTTTTCATATTTTTATATATATATATTTATTTATAATTTAAATGAGATTATAATCTATTATATTATATAATTCTAACATATTTTATATATATATATATAAAAAAGAGATTTCTTTTATATTATATATATATATAATCCATAAATATATATCCCGTTTTAGCTGAAGTGCAATAAATGTTTGTTTAATTAATTAATTATATAATTAGTTATAATTAATTATATAATTAATTAATAACAGCATAGGTTTGTGTTTATAATGTCATTTTGAAAATACTTTGTCTGGAAATAATTTGTTTGTTTTTTTTGTGTAAAATACCTGTCATTTTGTTTGTTTGTTTCTCAAACAATAATTTTAAAAAAAAAATTATTATTATCTCACCAATCAATCGGAAAATATCAATCAATTATTTGCGATACAATTAATTAATCATTTTTTTGCTCATTTCAATCATCACTAATACAAACAGTTAGCTGTATATATATATATATATATATTTGCAAAATGAGTTACTATTATCCATATATATATAAGGAGGCATTTACCGTTAAATTGTTTGCACAAAATTATGAACAATAATACTAATAATAATAAATTAAAAATTTCAATCAATCAAAAACAATCTAAAAAATTGATTTAAATTATTTGGAGTATTTTTTGTTGTTGTTGTTGTTGTTGCTAACCATATGTTTGTTTTCTTTATGAAGTTATTATATATATTAAAAAAAAATCATAAATTAAGAGAAAAAGCAATTTTTTGCGATCAATTGTTATGACCAACAAATAAATATTTTTAAAAAAAAATTGTGCATCAATTTTGTGTCTATGTATATATATATGGGTAAATGATTTAGATATATGTGTGCTAAAACCAAACCAATGTTTAGATGGTATGGGTAGTAGTAGTAGTAGTAGCACACAATAGATGATGAATCGGTTACATATATATATATTGTATATATATATATGTTATTGTGTGGGAGAGTCGATGCAATGTACGGTAATTATAATAATAATGAGGCGATGAGAGTGACAACAACACTGATGGACTAATTGATTGATTAGATCTCCGATTTGATGGTTTTGATGACACCTCCGACCAGACTCGGATGGATGACAAGTGCTGATGGCTGTTGTTGTTGTTGCTGTGCATTGGTTTGTATGGCTGTCATCGGATTCTTGTGATCGCCGGCCATCGTCGGCGTTGCTATCGTCGTCGTCGACATCATATTGTTGTTTGTACTGGAGATGTGCTGTTGGACAGCGGTCACTGGCATTACCGATTGTAGAACTTTTCGCGATGATACCAGTGCGTCGATGGGCGGTAATTGGCCGTCAACGCTGCCGCCGCCACCAGTGGTGATCATCATTTGGTCGCCACCGCTAGTATGGCCGCCGCTCAGCGAATTCTCTTCGGGATATTCATCGTCGAGACCGTCGTAGAAGTCGTTTTCGTCGCTATTCTGTTCTTCGTAACCATCGTTGTTCATCAAACGATGATTGTTGTTGTTGTTCGTCTTGTTGTTGTTGTTGATGATGTTAAGACCATCGGTCATATTTACAGGCGACGATTCGGCTGTTGTTGTGGTCAACTGGTGATTCCTTTGGTGCTGATTAAACGAATTCTTCCACGGCGTCGAAAACTGACAACCATTAACCTGACACTGATATTGACTTTCCCGATGAACTCGTTTGTGAACATTGACATTGCCCTTGAAATTGGTCCGATAGTTGCATCCCGGATGGTCACACTTGAACGGCTTGACTCCCGCATGCAATAGCTGGTGAGCAGTCAGACATTGTTTCCATTTTGATCGATACGAACAACCTTTGATATTACAGGTAAACAGTGCTTCCGAACGATCCTCTTTGGCTTCATCATCGTCGTCGTCGTCATCATCGTTGTTGTTGTTGATGGCCTGTTCGCGGGCCAATTGACCGGCACTAACGACATGAGGTCTGGCCACTGGATTCGAYCGATTAATAGTAAAACGAAACTTTTTCTTACGTTTTCGTTTGCGAATGATATTCGAGGCAAATGTGTTGCTATTTTTGGTTAAATGTTGGCTAAGATTGTGTGAGTGATGAGTAGACAGCTGGTGCAGATGGCTGCCACTGCTGGTATGGGCGGCACCGCTTGTCGACAGTGAACCACCACCGCCGCCGCCGCTACCGCCACTACCACCACTGCTACCGCCTGCAGCGGCCATCGATCGGGTAGTTGTATAGTCGCGATTGCTGTCGTCCGAGTCGATCCGGTGACGGTGTTTCTTGTGGATCTTGATGTTGCCCTTATAGTTGGACTGATAGCCGCAACCTTGGATGTCGCACGAGTACAGATTTTCGCCGGCGTGCAGACGTTTGTGCATTACTAGTCGCTGACGCATATTGGTCTTGAAGTCGCAGCCCATCCAATCGCATTCAAACAACGATTTCCCGGACATATCGTTCAGACCGCTGCCGTCCAAATCAAGTCCGTGCGTTGGCGATGCATCGGCTGACGTAATCAATATCTGGTCGTTATCGTTGGTTTCCATTGACATTTCGCACAGTTCCTGAGGCATCAGTACCATCGAGTTCTGTGTAGACGACTGGCCGCCGCCGCAATCATCATTATGATCGCTATCATAGTAGTTGCCGTTCAACGACTGATCTTCAAATTGATCCATACTGTCGTTAGCATCGTTTTCGTCGTCAATAACCGACTGGTCGTTTGCTTGTTGGCTATTGTTGTTGCTATTGTTTGCGGTAATGTTGTTATTGTTGGTTGTATTGCTGTTGCTATTGTTGTGGCTATTGTTGAACAGCGCCTTCAGCGCCGGATTCATACGAAAGCTGCTATAGTTGTGCTCTTTGTTTGGCAAAGTGATTGACGCCGCCGTTCCCGACGACGATGAAGACATAGAAGACATCATCTGATACTTGCGTTCCCATGTTTTTAGCTCTTCTTCCAGCTCCTGGACATCGTCGCGCAGTTGATCCACTTGTACGCTGTCCGTACGGATGGCCGCGTCGACCATCAAATGTAAGAAATTGATACAATCGCTGGACACCCGTTTAATATTGTCCAACAGGTGGACAATGTGTCGCATTGCGCACAGTTCGTCCTTTAGTTCATTGGTCTCCCGCTCGAGGATACGGTTCCTCTTGTCTCGCAATTGTTTGGCCGCCGTTAGRTCCATGACTTGGGTCGGCAGGTGATGATTGAGATATGATGTGCGGATGCAATATATAGATGGATGGATGGATGGATCAGATGACGAGTGTCCCGATCACCACATGAACACCATTTTATTTTTGTCTGGTGAAACAATTTTTGGTCAGTCAATCAACAAGTTATCCAAAATGTTACCACCGATGACGATGAGATATCATATATATATGGATATATCCTATCACTTAATTTGATCCAATAAAACCTCCAAATCGTGTCTTATATGGTATTATAATCATATGTGTTGTGWSACACAGACACTGAACAGATGAAGACAAACAAACAATCAGATGATAACAATAATAATCAAATGATTCAATACATTGTTGTTGTCGTCGATGTTGTTGTTGTTGTTATTGTCATTGTTGTGGTTAAGCCCTCTCTCTCTCTCTCTCTCTCTCTGTTTCACTGACACTATGAAAGTTGTTATACATATACTGTACAACAAAAACACTATATATTAAAACACTAAATATATAAAAAAAAACAAATAAATAAATAAATTATATTAAAAAAAACATTTACTTCAAAAAACAACACAAAAGTGTGATTACAAGTAATTCAATGTTTTTTTTTTATTTTATTGTTGTTGTATTCAATMTATAGAGGTATAAACAGTAATAATAATATCTTTATATAATATCATAGATAGTGATTACACACACATAAGTTATGATACAATATCTATATCTATCATTGAAGTCCAACAATAGGTTTGTTAATATTATTATTATTATTTTGGTTTTAATTTATATATTATATTATATATTATTATTAAATGAATGGGTTATATATATGAAAAATGGTAATAAAAAAAAAATAATCGATTCATTGAATGCATAATTAAATTAGTTATCTGTAGAGCACATGTCCGGAGCGCACAAAACTTATATAACATTTATATATTATATTATATTATATACGATATATAATATATAATATAACCCAATAGTACAGTACTCTCACTTTATAGTGTTATAGCCCATAGTTTATAACACACAAACACACACATAAACCGATTACATATACATATTCTATAGAATTATATTGGGTATACACATAGTACTTAGTACTACTAATAAATGTACAGTGTGTGTGTATATGTTTTTAGACTAAACATAGACACTCTACTACTAAACAGTGTACAACATACAGTACACACAATGTACTTTTACTTTTACTTTTTTTTTTATTATTATTTTACTCTCCCCCAATATTTAACTTAGTACTACTAGTMGTACTGTAGAGGTGTTCACAGTTAGCAATATGATCACTTTTATTTTTCTTTATCTATCTTTTTTTGTTGTTGTTTGTTTATTACACTACATTGACTTTTCATCAAGTTTCCTATAATATTTATTATTAAATTAGCTAGCTACTGTTAACAATTATTTTTATTTAAAAAATACCTTGGTAACTTATTAGATTATTTTTTAAGTACTATATACACTATAGTTAAGTATTAACAAATAATTTAATTTTAATTTTTTTTTCAATAACTAATTACACTATTGTAAAAACCAGTCTATAATATAATATTATTAATATATAAATAAATATCCGTTATTTTATATATTTTTTTAATTATAAGACCTCTACACACACACTATCTTTGTGTGTGTTGTTTTGTGAGTGCATTGGGTGTTCACCAAAAAATATTTGACAGTATAATTAAGTGCCATATTTTATATTAGTATTATTATTATTATTATTATAGATAATATTACAAACTGTATTATATAGAGTGCATTATATATATATATATATAAGTATAGACTACTAGCATTATATATATTTACAGTGTACATTTTTTTTAAAAAATAACTAAAAATTTTTATATAGCTATTTTTAGCTATTATAGTACATAGACCCTCTCGCTCTCTATTGTTTTAATAATATTATTTTTTTGATTAATTAATTTTATATCATGGATGATCTAGCTTAATTTATTATTTATTAATTAATTATTAATTTTTTTTTAAAAAAGCAATTATTTATTTTAGTTTGAAAAWWWTTTTCAAATAAATTAATATATATTTTTTTAATTAGTTAATTAATTATAAATAGTTTTTCTATTCCAGAATTTTCTATCCATATAAATATATATATATATATATATATATATATATATATATATATTATATATATATATATATTTTTATTATAGCATGCTAAAATATATAGTTAATTTTTTAAAAAAAAAACTAGCTAGCTATTTAAAAAAAAATTATTTTTTGTTTAAACATGGTARYATGTTTTAGTTTTAATATTTATTTAGGTTTAGTTAGYTTAGCATGCCAATGTCCCCTATCCCCCTACCATACCCTACCCTACCCAGTGCTAGTTATATTATATATATATATATATATATATATATTGGTGAATGGCCAACTTAGAGTTTTACATTATTTTTATTAGTAGTACTATAGTTATAGTTAATCAATATATTATTTAAATAAAAGAGGCACTCACTGTGTATGTATATTTAAATTATGCGTTATATTATGTATTAGTAGAGATACTACAGTACAGTATATCTGTATATATATATAACTACTACACACCAGTATATTTATATATTAAATAAAAGAGGGGGAACTATACATAGTATTATATTATATGGTATTATTATTATTATTATTATATAGGACTGGTAGTAGTAATAAAATATTAAAACTTTGGTAGCCCTGTGCAGTTGCTTAGGGATTAATGGGCATATGGGGAGAGAATGGCCATTTTAAATATTATAATATTGTAATAATAATAATATATATATATAATATAATATAATAATATAATGCTATATACTATAGTACTGTATAAGTGTAGTAGTAATAGTACATAAAAGTTATATATATATATAATACAAATTAATATTTATAGTATTACTACTACATTATATAATATTTAGTATGCRTTAATAAAAAAAATTTAATTAAGCATTTATATAATAAATATATTGTGTAGTAGTAGTAGTAATAATAATAATAATAATTATTATTATTATAAATAGATAGACATTTTTGTTTAAAGTTAGATATAATTTATAAATGAAATTTTTTTTTTTTT